ACTTTTCATTTCGACTTTGACCTCCAAAGTCGAAACATTTCGACTTTTGGGTTTTCATTTCGACTTCATGTATAGTAGTATCACTATAGAATTAATACCAACAGAAATCAGATTCACATTAATGATCATTTTTAAAATTAGTTTAGGTTCAATATTGTGATCTCCTATGGTTATTATTTTAGCAATGATGGTAGTCATCACGTTTATTCACAATAACATTTGTCGACTTCTTCTAGATCTTCTAGTGGTAAAAATCAAAGATCAAGTAGTCCTTTCATTACTTTGATTAGGATTAGTATTTGATCATAGCAGATTAAACAATCTATTATTAGTACGATTTTAGTTCGAGATTATCAGGATCAATGAAATATCATCAGGATTCATAATATGCTTTTCTGTGAATAATTCTTTACCTGAGAAAGCATCAAGAGTCTGTTGAACATAACTTATAGTATCAACTAAGAGAGTAGTTATTGATCTCATACTTTAATTGATCACATTCAACTTATTCGCAAGGTAGGTATTATTTAAATCATAATAAACTTCTACCTAGAAGTTACAGAATTCACTTTCTCTAAGCCGCTCTTCTACATAGAAATCCAAAGTGAACTTATCATCAACATTTCTCACCACTTGTATCATTTTCCCTATTATAACAACATTTATTCTAATTATTGGCATATTGTCAAAGTCGAAACAAATGACTTTTATGCAAATTACATTTACCTATTGAAATGTAAGTATGTTTAATGATTAAATTTTTTCATATATTTAGATTATATAAAAAAATATCATAAAAATAAAAAAAACTATTATTGTGTATCAATTAGAATATCCGATAAATTTTCCCTTTAGGTAAACAGTGTCGTCTACTTCAAAGTCATCTATTTTATGATTTATTGTTTCGTCTATAAGGGTAAAAGCTTTTATCTGTAAGTAGATCATCTTAATAAGGTCTGTTTTGAATATTTTCATGACACTGATAACCTTTTTTGATAATCAAATCTTGTATGACTCTCTCCTTAGAGTCATATATATAATAAAATGTTTCAAGTTTTGAATGCATTTTTAAATTGAGAAAGTAAAAGGTAAGTGAAATTTTTTTATTTTTTTAAAAAAATGTAATTTTACTTTTTTTTAAAAATAATAAAAAAGCAAATTTTTTAAAAAAATACTTTTCAGATGGGTAAAAATATAAGTTTTTTTTAATTAAATTTTATTTTTTTATTGTAGTAAATCTGATTATTTTTTTTTATAATATATATTGCGATATCTAATTGTTAAAAGAAACAATCACAAAAAAAATTATTTATTGGTAACTTTGATTGTTTTGTTAATTAATTGCATTGAGCTTACCTAAATAAATATCTAATCACGTTTACTGCAGTATAAATAAAGAGAAAAAAAATAAGAAAATTTATTATTTAAAGAACCTCTCAATTAGTTATTACAATTAGAACGAAAGGTTGAGTATTATTCTTTATAAACAATTAAATAATCTAACTACTTACTCTGAAAACTAAGTAATGTAATATTAGAAGAATATATTTTTTAATACAGAGCAGTAGATTAAACTATAAGAGAGTATTTGTTGCAAGTGTTTTGATAATCTATGTCAGCCAAATTTTATTATCAACTATTACTTTTAATTATTTTTAATAAATCAGCGAATTGGGAAATGACTATTTTATCATCTTACGATTTTTCCAATTAGAAATAAAATGTTCTCAAAAATCTTTATTACAATAAATCATTTGCAGATCATCCAGTAGATCAATTCTGTAGATCATTTTATAAATCTCAATTTTGTAAAAACATCATGATCATTTGCTGTATCACATTTTTTTATTATTAGTTCAGAACGAAGTGAAGCACTATATATGTATAGACACTTTAATAATCGATGTTCTGTTATCTGCCTGCTCAAAATTTGAGTCAATATATGATTGGTTTCTTTTATTACACTTGTATTCTGAACTTTACAATGGTTTTTTATTTCCTAGTAATAATACTGTAACAATACTAAGAAAATCGCAAAAAACTAAAAAGCAAAAAGTACTAATTTTGATAAGATATTTAGAATTATCTGGAATCCTGATTTTACTAAACAAAATATGACATTTGATGATAATATTAACTATAAAGATATAAAAGATGATAATATAATTAATAACCAATCAAAACTTGTAAATAAGGATTAATATATGGGACCTTTGCAATAGAAAGGTGGGAAATAGCCGGAAAAATCAAAAGTGAGTTAATGCTAAATTTGAACATATTGCAGCATAAAAATCATATTTGGCATATAAAGTAAAATTAATTTTTCCCGGCAGTTTCCCTCCTTTCTATTGCAAAGGTCCCATATCACAAAATTATAAAAATCTATTTTTGAAAGTCAAACTTGCATTATATGAATCATTTACTTATTGGAATATTTTAGAGGATTATAGATTGATTATAGCATTATTAGATCTTATTGCAAATTCTTAGGTTTTATATCTTTAATACTTGCAATAATATTTATTCTTTTTTTTATAAGATGCTTAATACTGATGGGAAAAAGTAGTCTGACATCTGTATGTTAAGTATCCTGACTATCTTGTATATGTCCTATCCAATGATGTTAGCAATATCATGACAATTCATTATACCAATTCAACATTTGAGCATCTCCTCTTTTTGAAACGTAATTGGAGCTTAATTGGTTCTATCTTCCCAAAAAATGAACTTAAGGTAATCTTATATAAATTTCCATTTGTAGAATTCTTATTTTATAAGAATTTTGGGGAGATATTGTAAAAAAAAAAATATTTACTTTTGGAGAAACAGCATGTTAATCATTTACAAGAATTGATTGGTATTCAATTGTAGTTCATTTACCTAAACTTTAAATATTATGAAGTATATTCCTAAATTTTAAATTTATTTACATTTTACAGTATAATTATGTTATTGCAATTCGTTGTTTTAAGATAATTATAATTCTCCATATTTTATTTTGCCGCAATTGATCTTATTTCTCAAATATCGAATGCCAGAATCAGCAATTTTAACAGATCACCGGTTCCTGCTTCTATACACACTAGGCCGAGTGCCCTTTTCCACAGTCTTGTTAAGAAGACGTTCATTATATCTATTTCGGTACCAAGCATATAGAAATTCTACTGATATAAATCCAACAAGGCCAGTCAGTTTACAAACAACAAAAAGGTGTTGAGAACTTTGCTGAAAAATGCACAATAATCTCATACCGGAAGCCAGTTTTACATAACCTTTTCCGATTCTACCCAAGTATTTATTTAGGTTGTAGGATGATGTAGACTCTTCGGAAGGGGTGTTAGGAGGAGGGGAATAAAATGTAAGAGTTTGTGTAAGATCTCGAAAGCGACAGTTGTAATAGAACAGGGTTTGAATTTCTTGATGCAATTTTTGATCATGATTTGACGGATAAATAGACGAGATGGTAAAACGTTCCTATGAGAATAATAATTCATACCGAAAGAATTTACTTTTCCACAAGTTGAATCAAGTAAAAAATGTAATGGTTGATATTAATGATGTTAATTTTAGCAATTATATCTGTAATTTTTTTTTTCGAATATAAGTAATCATTGCTTGATTTATCTTATAAGCTTTATTTAATATCACTTTATTAATATACACTTTTCCACCTTTTATTAATTAAACTAAATTACATCATTTATTGATTATAATTACTTAATCTTAATTCTTACAATATAAATTAATAAAGTACCATAACCAATTCGTAATATATATATACTTATTTATTATATATACAAATAATGATTTTATTTGTTTGTGTGATTTCTTAATGATAGCAACTTATAGAAAATCTATGCGTACAAAGTGAATTTTCATAAATTACATTTTTTTTTTGTCAAATCTCTGAGCAAGACTTGCAAGACTTATTTATGTTTTCTTTTTATTGCAAATTGTTGTCAAATATAGAATTATCTATCACTGTCTATCGATAAAAGAAACATGGAAATAGATAACAACAAAGGATCTCTACACGCACAAAAACATAGAATCTATGCTATATTTTATTTTCATCAACGCTAATACGATAAAGAAAAAAATTCCAATAAACGGTCTATGTTTAAAGGGTAAATATATATAAAATAAAATAAATGAAATAGAAAAAGTAAAAATATATATATATATTACTAATAAACTCGTACGAATTAATAATGTATTATAAAAATGATGACGAAAATGTTGTTTTAAGATCGTTCGCCACGAAGACGACGAGCCAATTGGATATCCTTTGGTTGAATAGTAACGCGTTTGGCTATAAATTATAATCAAAGATTAATAAGAAATTGTGATGTAAATAAATTTATGCAATTCTGCGCTGCGCTTATATAGAGATACATACCATGAATCGCCGCAAGATTTGTATCTTCGAAAAGACTATTAGTAAATTAAAGTAGGATTAATCTTATAACGTTAGATATCATATATAAAAATGAACTTGTAGAATCAATTACCTAACTAAGTATGCTTCAGCAGCCTAATAAATAAAGATATTTGATAATTAGTAATTGATGCGCAGCATTTGAAAATAATAAAAACATACTTCTTGGAGAGCACCAATAGCGCTAGATTGGAAACGTAAGTCTGTTTTAAAGTCTTGTGCAATTTCACGGACAAGGCGTTGAAAAGGCAACTTGCGGATCAAAAGTTCAGTAGATTTTTGATAACGTCGGATTTCACGCAAAGCTACAGTACCAGGTCTATAACGATGAGGTTTTTTTACACCTCCTGTAGCTGGGGCTGACTTACGAGCAGCTTTCGTGGCAAGTTGTTTTCTAGGAGCTTTTCCTCCGGTACTTTTACGAGCAGTTTGCTATAAAATTTTAAAATTTGATGAACTTGGCATCGCTGAAAAGCCGCGAAAAGGAAACAAAATATTATACCTTAGTACGAGCCATATTCTTAGGTTATTTGTGAAAAATGTGATTATATTGGTGGGTTTTTTGATATTTTGTATATTTAAAGAGGTTTTAAATTTTTCTGAGTAAAGATAAAAAAAAGTTATTAATTAATTAATATAAAACGATAGTAAAAAAAAAATCTTAAACCAAAACGACTGGAAAAAGGAAAAGTAGAGTTATATGTGAGAAATTTGTCGAATGACGTCGGATATCGGAGTCAGGTTTTGTTAATTGCCATTTTAGTTATAAAATACATCATACTTCCAAAAAACAGTATTGGAAAATTAGATAAGCAAGCAGCTCCCGACCTTGTAAGGTAAAAAACACGTGATTTATAAGCTTTTTTGATTTGGAAAAAGAATTAATTACTATTAATACAATCTATTAAAATATTAATTAATATAAATAATAGGCTATTTAATTTAATAATACTGATTTTTAACAAATGATAATAATTATTATCAAATATAATTTTAAACTTTGAAATAATAAGATAAAAGTTTTTTAAATTTAAATATTAATATAATTAGTTTTATTCATTATAAATAAATAAATAAGTAATTAGTTAATCATATATTTAATTAAGATAATAAATGAGTATTATTTCACATCAATATTCTGTAAATTTTTTAATAATTAAACATATTTACTAATTAAAAATTTAATTAGATTTATATAAAATTTAATATATAATTTAATTAATAATGTAAAATATATAAACTTAATAAATATTATACAAATAAAATAAATAAACAAAATAACAAAAAATAAATAACAAAAAATAATAAATCTGATTGATTAATTTATTGATTAACATTAATTATATTAAATACCACAGGCATTAGAATAAGTAAATATAAATAAAATCAAAAATTAATAAAAACTTGACAAATAAAAAGTTTATAATAGATACTATATCATATCTTATTTTGTATATAAGTAAGAAATAATTAACCAAAATTTAATAAATTAAATTTAAGAATAATTAAACTGCATTATAAATTATATAAGCTGTCATTAAAATTAAAAGTTAGGTTTAGTTTGATAATATAATATAATATTATATTCATATTCACCAATCCATATAATTAATAAAATTAGCCTAAATTAAGGAATTTTATAATAATTTAACAAAAAATTGTTTTACAAAATAGATACATGAGTGACAAAGATATCAAGAAATTATTTTAACTGTAGTGATAAAAAATTTTTTTTCTTTTGTAAGCTTTTCTTATTAACTTTCTCATCACTTTTCTATCACTTTTTTGTTAGACAAACTAAAAAATTTGTAAATATATATAGCAGTTATTTTTTAACTAGTAAGTAAAAGAGAAATATCAATATAATATTTATGCTTTTTTTTATTTATTTTTAAGGTAAGTATAATGTTTTTTGTTATTTAAAAAAAAATAATAATATTTTACTTATCACTTTTTATAAATGCCAAAAGTCTATTTCAGAATTTTAAAATAAATCAAAAGTTAGTATTTTAATAATTTTTTTAAATAATTACATTAGAAAAATTTTAATTCTTATACTTATCTTTCTTTGTAGATTGTTAAAGCTCAGATTCTAGAATCCTGGATAAAATAAATCAGAAATAAGTAATGTTATTTGTTATTTTAAAAAAATTTAATATTTTTGCTTATCTCTTTTGTAGATATTGGAAGTCTACTCTGGAATCCTAAAATAAATCAAAGTTTAGTATTTTAATTATTTTTCTAAATAATTAAATTAAAAAAATTTAATTCTTATACTTATCTCACTTTGTAGATTGTTAAAACCCTCTGGATTCTGGAATTCTAGATTAAATTAGAAATATTAAATAGCCTCAAATGACTATAAATAAATATTAAAATTACAAGTTATAGAAAAGTCTAATTGCTTATCTATAATAAGTAATTCTTGATATATTATTGTAATAATGAATTTTATAAATAACTTATAAAAGAAATATGAATATTGGAATTGACAATTAATATGGGATTGCTAAGATATGATCTGGTTCTTAGGATCAGGTTCTAAGTTTTAAAAATTAATTTTGGGTTCCTGCATAAGTTTAATATATTTTTTAATAAATATTTAATTAATAATTATCATTAGAAAATAAATATAATACCAGTAAAATAAAAATCTTTTCTAGAACGACAAATTTATTTGGATTTTTAGAATTGTTTAGGATTGTTTAATATCTTTAAATTAAATAAATCAGAGGTAAGTAATGTTATTTATTATTTAAAAAAAATTTAATATTTTTACTTACTTTTTTATAGATGCTGAAAATATTCTGAAATAAATTAAAGGTTAGTATTTTAATATTTTTTTAAATAATTTAATTAACAAAACTTAATTCTTACACTTACTTCTCTTTATAGATTGTTAAAATCTTCCAGATTCTAGAATCCTAGATTAAATAAATCAGAGATAAGTATTGTTTTTAAAAATAAAATAAAAATTAATAATTTTACTTACCTCTTTTTATAGATATTTGAAAAGCTTACTTTAAAATTCTGGAATAAATTGAAAATTAATATTTAATTTTTTTTAAATAATTAAATTAACAAAACTTAATTCTTATACTTACTTCTCTTTGTAGATCACTAAAGTCCTTCGGATCTTGAAATCTTGGATTAAATGAATCAGAGATAAGTAATATTTTTAAAAATATTTTTAAAAAATTTAATATTGCTATTTATTTCTTTTTGTAAATACTGAAAATCAAATCCAGAATCCTATAATAAATTAAAGTTAATATTTTATTTTATTTATTTTTTTAAAATAATTAAATAAAAAAAATAATACTTCTTTATAAATTATCAAAGCTTTTCAGAACTCTAGAATCCTGGTTGAATAAGAATTAGAGGTAAGTAATATTTTTTTCTTTTTAAAAATATTATAAAAATTAACATTTTACTTACCTTTCTCTTTATATTTGCTGAAATACTTTAGAATCCTAGGATGTGATAAGTGGTTTACAACTTAAATTAGTTTTTAAGTAATCTTTCATCTATTCAAAAGTTAAATAAAATAAAGGTTTTATTTTTTTTCACAAAAAACAACAAATTTCAAAAAAAATCTTTTATTCAAAATAATAAATACAAATAACCTAAACGTTTTGACACTTATTTAAACTTACTGAAACCTGTTGAAGCATTTAGACTTTAGTTTTGACTTTTGAAATTAGCCTATTATAGTTTCATTTCACAACTATAAAAATATAATAAATGATCATTAATTTTTATAACTTAAGCCAAATTTTTTTCAAATTATATAACCAAATTAGCTGAATAATTGACAAAAAGGTTTAATGCTAAAATAATACTAAATTATATGTGATTTAATAAATAACTATTGATTTTTGTAACTCAAGCTAAATTTTTAACAAATTACATGACTGAATTAGCTAAATATTTGCTATAATACCAAAAAATATATAATATAACAAATGATTATCGATTTTTGAAACTTAAGCTAAATTTTTGCTTATGACTTAGCTAAATATTTACTGAAATGTATTAGTATTAAAAGAAAATTTTGATTAATATGATGTATTAATAAAAGCTATCTTTGATAGTTTATACGGTTATATCTCAATATAACAAAGTTGGCGTCTAGGCTGATCAGCCCTTTGTTATAAGAAAATTTATTATTACTATAATGAATTTTTCAGTATAATAAATGATTACTGAAAAAGGAAAATACAAACATATTTTTACTATAATATAATTAAAGTTAATTTTATAATATCATTTTATAGAATAACCTCTCTGTGATTAAAGTTAAAGTGATTTTGAAGCAATTTTGGTAATGTAAAAATTAGAATTAATCTTAAATAAAATAATTTATAATAATAAATATAAATTTATTTTTAAAAGTTTTAAGATCTCTTTACTAAACAAAAGAAAAAAGTAAGAAAATTTATTAATGATAGTTTAAAATATAATTAATTAATATTATTTATTTATACCAAAAAAATTAAAAATAAAAAATTAAAAAAATTAAAAAAACAATAAAAAAATAAAACATCACAAAATGAAAACCCAACCTGATAAAAAAAATAAATTAAAAAATAAAACCTCCATGATAAAAGTGAAAAAAATCAAAATCTTTTGATAAAAAAACTAAAAATTAAAAAAAAACAAAAAAAATTAAACCCCTTACTTCCCACCCCCCAACTACTGATTCACTGTCAGCACATTACAGGCTCTTCTTCAATGATGCTTCATAACTAAAAAAATGTAAAAATACTTAATATAAATCTAAAAATTCCTAAAATTTTTATTAAGAACTATTAATTAAACATAATAATTACCTAGCTTATCCTAAAAACTAGTTTAGAATAGATTATAAAATCATTCCCATTATACAATTACCTTCTCCTTCTTTTCGCACTATTACACCAATTACAAAAGCCCTAAAGGATACATATTAATTACTTTTTAAGTTATATTTATTAATATTTTATTATTTATTTATTTACTTACTCCATAATCCCTTATCAGATTTCTCTATTTCTGCTTACATTGGCGAGAAGAATAATCACGATTATTAACGTTAATTTATTCTTCTCATGACGCTTTACCAAAATCTCAATTTATTTCTATAAAAAAAAATAATAATATTCATGATTGTGTCTTCTCTTTTTTTAATCAAATAATTGGTCTCAGCATTCACCTAAATAATTTTTGGTGTAGCTTGTTTTTTTATTAGGTTTGTAAAAATTAAAAAATTTGATGGTTTGATTTAATAAATTGATCGAGAGAATTGAAAGTATTTAAAAGTGAAAAATTAAATAATGGTAAAATACTTCCTTTTAAAAATAAATTTCTTTATTATTGAATTCTGATTTGATATTTCATAAAAAATCTCTTTATTATTGAATTGAAATTCTGATGTAAAAACTTGAATAATACAATAAACTCTCCTCAAATTATTAACATATTTGCATTAATATTGTTATATTAAAAACATTACTATTATTATTCAATTATAGTAAC